CATCAGAAATATCACCTGCACACTCCACTAATAACAAATCAAGAGGAACGTGGTTACTCAAATAATTACAAAAGCAACGCTATCACTTCCTTTTTCCTACTTTCCTTATTATCAGAAGTCTCTTACAAGACCTGATGACCCAGAATTTCTTCTTTTTGTAATGATCATAGAGAAATTTCTTCAAGTATTTCTACAATTTCCGGCAGACCTAACATCAAAACATCACATTCTAAGCTTCAAAATTCGTTAAACCCATTGAAACTGCTGTGCTTCTGAGTGCTGCTCAGCCAAAGCACAGATTTTAGTCCAAATCAACAGCTCGATCTGCTAGAAATTTTACTAGCTCTTAAAAAACAAAAAAAAAAAAGTTAATCAACTGTACTTATAAGTGAAAGATCAACTCACTTATAAAACAGTAAAAACAAAGAAAAATTGGAATAACTACTTACCAACTCTTGCCTTCATGATCTACCTAACATAACAGCTACTTGTGAAAGTTTAACAAAACACAAGTCCTCAGTTAATTTTTCTCAAATAACAATAAAAGTGAATGCAGTTGGTCAGTTGAGAAAACAAATCGGCCGCTGTGAAATATGGTAACTGTTAGATTCACAGCAGCCTATAGTACAATCTCTTCTAAGCTGAAAACTGCACCAATTACAATTACAAGGATACAAACATAAATAAATATAACCACCTTCAACGTTATAAATTGTTCCCAAGTAAAACAAGTTGGTAGAAACACAAAATGGTTTTAAAAGATTTGTACAAAGTCAGCTTTTGTCACGAATATACAGAATATCATAATGGCCAGGACGGTATAAAAAATACAATCGTGGAGGCCTCTCATGGAAAATAAAATCGTGATGATACCCTCCCTCAGGAGCTGCAGAACGATTCATATACTCAATGCGAATAGACACCTCTAAAGATGTTTTTTATAAGAGAAGCAATAAGAGAAACTTAAAAGCAAACAAGGGTTTTCATTTACCGATAAATTTAAAACAAAATCGAAGTACTTTTGTATATTCGCAAAGATGGTATACTAGAAAAGTTTGTTAAATCAATTAAAATTAGACTTCTTCTTTGCGTTGGAAGTTGCTTGTTCTTTTAATCAAAAGAAACCCGATAGAAAATAAGAAATTCAACAAGTTGTTAAAAAACCAAAATACAAAGAAGAAAGAACATCTTACGGTTACTCGTGTCTGCTTCGATCGATCAAAAGTAGCATTAGTTAAAGAAAAAATCAGAGCTTCTCTTGGTTTAAAAAACTACAAAAACAGATTTAAAACGTACCTATAGCACTTGTGAGTGAGGTAACAGCTAAGTGATCACAGTCTTTCCACATAGGCTCAATCTCTTCCCTACAAAACTGTTCCACAGTGCGGCCGCCCTCAACAAAACCTTCAAACTCAACACTGTGTTCCCGTAAATAACCGGAAGTTATAAGCCTAAATAGTAGGAGGAAATAACGCAGAACGTAAAAAACCCAACCAGTGAAACTGTTAGCAGACCTCTAGAAACTGGAATAGGCAGAAAAGCTAAGAGATATTGAACGCTTACTCAGTAGGAAAAAAAGGTAAGCCAAACCTAAAAAAAATAACGTAGTAGTTGGATGCTCCATCATCATTCAGCGTAGCGAATAAGGTTTCTTCATTAACTTTACCCTGGTTTATGCTGTCGAGCAACTCATCAAACTAAAAATCTACTTTAGATTGCACGATTACGCAGTTCACATTGAATTCATAAACGAACCCAGTCACAGAAGTCGTTTGTTGTAAATTCAGGAAACCCCAGCTTCAGCAACCTACTCCGCCATCCCTTGCAAACATTTGTGAACCTGAAAAAATGTCAAAAAAAACCTACTTAAATTACATCACCACTCAACTACTTCTACACGGCATCTCGTAGACAAACAGATCTGAAGTTGAGTAAATTCTTATACTGTCCACCTCCATTTTTCAAAAAAAAAAGTGTGAAAAGAAATAACTTTTCATTTCAGTAACTTCTAATAAAATTCCCTCTATTTCCCACTCAAAAACATCAAAAACAGACGCTTACAGTAGCAAAAATTGTCAAAGACAATCCTACCAAAAAATACCAAAAAATTCTTAAGCCGTTATTTAAGAAACTGCTTATTTTTATTACTGCTGATTTATGCTTAACAAGATTTATTAGTTTTAATTTTTCTAGCTGTTCCAGAAATATTCAAAAATATGGATTTGTACTAATTTTCCTCCAAAATGTAGCTACAAACCTTAGGCATGTAAAATAACTAAAAAAGGCACAAAAAGAAAATAATTCAGACCATAAACAAATTCAGAACCTTGTTCGTTCATCGACGTCTTTCAAGATACTTTCCAGCTGAGCGAATAAAACTGATCGGTAAAAACAATTTCCGTCATGACGTGTGCGTCGTAAACTTTCATAAGTCAGAGAAAGTTCCTACAGAAAACAAAAAAGAAACAAAAGTTTTCACAGAAGATATCCAGCTTAAAACAGAAAACAATTAAAGAAATTATACCTTCGCTTTCTGGAAGTATTCTGCACTTTCTTTAGCATTGTACAACTCAACAAGAGTTTCAACAGGTTCTTTTTTGGAAACAAGCGGTTGTGTTTGTTTAACCTATAATGAATGTGTAGCTACCAAAATAGTCGATCGCAGAAGTATCCCAAATTTAGCCATAAAATGAAAAACAATGTAAAGTTTTAAATTTAGAGACTTTTCTTACTTCAGCTTCAATCTCTTCATTTTGTTTGTTAGTTTCTTCATACAGAATTTCTTCATCTCTTCTCAACTGCTCAGCAAGTTGTTCATCGTTGGAGTTGTGTCTTTTTTCATCAGACATTGATTAGGCCGAAATATCAACAAGGATGCTTAACAGAAGGACAAAAACTGACACTAACGCCTTGTAACACAGATGATATGTACCGGCAAAACGATTACATGCATATATGCGACGGAAATAACTGCATTTAAAAAGACCGAATTATCAATGTAAATTTGTGAAAAAAATCATTGTTTCGGATAACACAGTTCTCGTTAACTGATGGTTACAAAACCAATGATATCTAAAACAACAAAACAAGCAAGATCTGAAAGTTGCCATCATTAACAACGATAACAGCACTAACGACGACGACGATGGCGACAAATAAAAATAAAACTTCCAACACATTCTCTGAACAACCAACATTTCATAACCAAATTACAGATCATTAAAATGTCAGAAGAAGAAGAAGAAGAA